AGGACTATATCGTCGGCAAATCGAAGGTGAGTGATGTACTCGCCATTGATGTTGATACCGTATCCTTTCCAGTCCAGAAGCTTGAAAACGTCTTCCAATGCATCGGTGAAGAGTTTCGGGGATATGACGTCACCCTGTCTTACACCTCTCTGCAATTGGATAGGTTTCGTACTCTGGTTCTGTACTCGGATAGCCATCGTAGCCCTACTGTACAAGCACTTCAACACTTCGATATACCGACAGTCAACTTGGCACCGCTGAAGGGACTGCAGCACCGCCCAAATTTCGACGGAATCAAAGGCTTTCTCATAGTCCACATACGCCAGACATAGTGGCAAATTGTACTCTTCGGACTTCTGTACAACTTGCCGAAGGGTATGTATGTGGTCTATGGTGCTAAAGCCCTTTCGGAAACCGGCTTGTTCGGGAGGCTGGAAGTCGTCAAGTCTGCGCGCGAGACGATTCGTAATGACTCTCGAAAACAGCACGTAGACGCGGCTCAGAAGGGAAATCGGTCTGTAGTTCTTCAAGAGAGCGTTGTCACCTTTCTTGAAGAACAAGACCACCGCACTTCTGCTCCACGCCTCCGGTGTAATGCCACCATGGAGGACGGAATTAAAGAGCTTCTGAAGGACTTCAAGTACCGGTCTTCCACCCGCTTTCAGAAGCTCCGCTGTAATTCCATCCTCGCCTGGGGCCTTACCGTTTTTAAGGTGCTGGAGAGCCATCCTAATCTCGCTCAGACTGACATCCGGGATATCTTCGGAATAGTGTCGGATGAGACTCGCTCTTGGATCGTTACTCACACTTGCGTGTGGCTCCAACGATGATGTGTACAGCTGCCCATAGAACCTCTCAATCTCACTCAAAATCTCAGGTGTCCCGGAAACGATGCTGCCACATTCTGTCTTCAGCTTTGACAGTTGGCTCTTTCTGGCAGACAGATCTCTGGCAAAGACTTTGGAGCCTTGGTTCCGCTCGATCGCTTCTTCAATACGAGCTGTATTGAAGTTGCGTAAGTCCCGCCGCATGCATTTGGAGATCTGTCTGTTCAGATGCCTGTATGCTGTCAAGTCTGTTGAAGAATGTAGCTTCATCTCCCGTCTAACAGCCATGAGATTAAGAGTGTGATCGGAGAGTTTTTGTGTTCTTCTGCGGCGGGTCTTGCAGAACTTAGCTCCAACCGCATGGACAGTTTCCACGAACTTGTCATTCATATCGTCCACTTCATTGCAGTCTTCCAGGCACTGAAAACGGTTTTGTAACTCGAGCTGAAAGGTTTCGGGACTTTGGAACAGAGCACGAGGGGGACGGAGCATTGACTTCATTAGACGAGACCTCTCCAACTTAACGTTTAGGTTCAGTGTGCCTCTAACCATTCGGTGATCGCTGCCGGTTTTCACCCTCGCGATCACGGAGACATCACTGAACAGTTGTCGTCTGGTCGTCATAATGAAGTCAATCTCATTTTTTGTGGAACCGTCGGGGCTCGACCAGGTCCACTTCCTGTGGGGCCGCTTCTGGAAGAAAGAGTTCATCATAAAGAGTCCCTCTTTCTCCATGAAGTCGGCCAGCTGCTGGCCCCTTGGGTTCCGTTGCCCTATTCCAAATTTCCCTACTTTCAGCTCACCGTTCTCTCTTGTGCCTAGTTTTGCATTGAATTTTTTGAAAATTGAATTTTTATTATATATATATATATATATATATATATATATATATATATATATATATATATATATATATATATATATATATAACAACGTCTGCCTGGTCAGCTAGTATATATATATATTTATACTAGCTGACCAGGCAGACGTTGTTATATATATATTTTTTTTATAGGAGAGGGGGCAAACGAGCATGCGGCTCACCTGTCAATCCGAACAATTCCTCAGAGCACTCCCCATGGTAGATGCGAAAGAAAATGCAAAGGGATGCAACATCTCTTCGCAGTGCCAATGAATCGAGCCGATCGGAAAGGGCTCGGTCGTCGACAATTCGAGCCGCTCTGCGTTGGATGCGGCTTTTTAGAGGCCAATTTGGCCTTCCCTTCCAAGTGACCACGAAACTGCACGTCACTCGATATGTCGACTCCGAGGATACCGATACTGGCTGAGGCAAGAAGGGGAGTGCCTTGAAACTGAGGAGATACGACAAAGGGGTTCTTTTTAGCGGTAAACGCGCAAACTTGTGTCTTCTGAGGATTAAATTGGACTAGATTTAGTCGCCCCCAATCCGAGACTTTGTTCAGCAAAGACTCGACTTCAGACACAAGCTTGTTCCGGTACTCAGCGACGTTTTCCCGAGAAATATTGGCACGGCCGGTGTATAGATACTTTTATTATATATATATATATATATATATATATATATATATATATAAAATAAAAGTTATATTGCGTGTCACTTATAGGGATAACAACTATCCTATCTCTCAAACTGCACACAGTGTGCAAAATTTCATTGCAATCAGTTTATTAGTTTAGGAGTTCATCGCGGACAAACAATGTGACACGTAGTTTTTATATATAAAGATTGTATCTAACGGACAGTAAAACTAGATATCTCGATTACAGATTTTAAAATATGAATTTAAATTTAATTTGTTACGAAACATACACTTTACACGAGTTCAAAACAATAGAATAACAGAAGCCATATAATGGAATCAAAACTTATAAGTACTGTAAACAACTCTTATTTCAAAGTTTTCGCCTATTTTCTCTTCCACATTGTTGTTCGAGTATTAGCTAGCTTAATCTAAATATAATATGCGAAATTTATGTCTTATGACAGACTATATTAAAGAAGAACGTACAAAGACAAAATCACAAGCTATAGTTGCTAACCGTTCGCCCATAAAACCCCAATTACACCGCGTTACAATTTAAGTATCGCATACGGACTCATCGACTTGTATTAATATTATCCTGCTAAAAATAAACCCGCCGTGGCCGCGAACTCTTTCGTCTAATTGACTCTGATTTACAACTTTGCCGCTTTATAGCCCATATACGTTCTTAAAATGAAAATGATTTAATGTTCGATAACGTCGAATTGAACATTGAACTTCAACGTTTAGAAATAAGAAGTAATTTAGCGTGCGTTACGGAGGACATTGATTTGTTTTGTGAGGGACACGTTTAAAAAGCCTCCCCATCGCGAAGTTCGTGGAAACTGTTGTTTATTTTTGCGCGCGTGTGGGATTTTTGATGGTTATATCGATGTTTTGAGTTTGGGAAGAATGATTGCCGCCAACTGTATTGTTTACTTTTCGGAATGCTTACGTCCATTTTATTCATTCTTTGGAAGTGCTTGAATTTTATCTACTAATGATATTATACTTAACAACTCAGAAGTAAACGTAATTGTATAGAGGCTTTTATTTAAATATCTGAATACTTAATATGTTTGTTTGTAACTTAACATTTTGTAAAGCTTCCAACGTCTTCGATAGATGGCGTTGGCTTCGAATTAGAAGTCGTTAGCGTTCGGCTTCCGCAATTTGAATAGGTCTATGCGATTTGTTTTCGAGATCGAATCGGGGAGCGACTCCGAGGTCAGTACGTAGTTGTGGTCTTTTATTTAATAATTCCCGCTTGCTACAGTTCAGGTCAACTTAATCCCCCAAATACCACCCGGTACCTAAACAACGTTTCTTTAGGCAGTATAGCTAATTACTCAACTCTACGCATTTGCCTGCGGCCCGGTCCAATTTTTAAACCAACCTGTTGATGCGGCCTGCGAGCGGGTCCAATTATCAATGTTTGGAAGCACCTACTAGTGTGCTAGCAATTATTTTCCCTAATGAAAGGAAACAGATCTCCAACGAGATCGCAGATGACCGACGTACACTTAGATGCAGTTTTAAAACTAATTTCCGCAGATAGAATTAGCCCCAAATAGGTAATTTAGTTAAAGACAAAAGTTGTTAAATGTTTGGAAAAAGATTGTAATACATATTTCTATTATTTTACTATTAATTATTAAATAAATGATTACCGCCCTTTCCGACTTTATAATATATGCAATGAGCTTTTTATTCTGTATGGTTGAATTTAGCGGCCCACTGATTCTACGGACTTTACGCATTTAGCCCACCAATGACTTTGAGTTTAACATGCATCCTCTACTTACGACTCTTCTTCTTTATCAGCCTGTAAAAATCCATTTACGAATATGAGATTGACCCGTTATGGGGGAATTTGCCTTAATCGTCACTCTTGGCAGGCAGATGGACTATCATAGTATGATGACTCGCACCTTTGACACTGCTGCCCGTCGCCGGCATTGGTATTTTACGTATGACGTAAAGAAGATGGTAATACTGCCATCTATCGGATGCTATAAGTTTTCCTGGTATTTTTCATATCGCCTCTTACGACGACAATTATGATATTGGATAATGGCTTCTCTTATGCCCCACCTAACACATTGTAAATCAGTACATACTAAATAACACGTCTGTACGTGGTAGAGCCTTGCTGCAGCTATATTAGTAATATAGTTGTAGCACGAATGGGTCGGCTCGACCGGGGAAGGACCACGCTCTCGCAGAATACCAGCGTAAAATAGCAGCTCAACGCTGCTGTGTTCGTATGGTGAGTGTAGAAAACCGGAGACCCTTTTTACTGGAAATGAGGCATTACATTTTAGTCCTCACGGGTGACAACGCATCTGCATTTTGATTTGTAATAGAGGATAGATGTAGATGTCTAAGGGCCGCATCAACCACTTACCATCAGGTGGACTGTGTGCTCGTTTGTCACTCTTATCCTATAAAAAAAACAATTTAGTATAGCAATCAAATTTAAGTAATAATTTTAGTTTTGTGTTAATTTCGAGCTAGAACTTGTGTTGCCGCATGTGAGTATCATCCTCATGCAGAAAACCTACGATTGTGATTTGAGATGCTTTATTTCCAGTGGTGAAGCTTCATCTTTTACTTTCTGGGCTGTTGGGACATATTTTACCTTCAAAAAAATACAGCCTGAACTTACCTTTTCCTAATTTATCTTCGTCGGAGCCCCATGCTGGTGACTCCTTCGGCTTTGGCACTGACAGATTGAGAGGTTCATCGACTTTAAAACTATATTGCACTGCACATTCACTGTCAACAGTTCTAACACCACGCTGCAACAACTGTTCCTGCAGCTTGTTCTTGTGCACACTCACAAACTTGCGGTCGTTCAGTTCCCTCTGTGTTTCCACAGTTTTCTCATGATGAAACTGTTTCTTACCATCGAAGTTTCTTTTTACGTTCATTAACTGACTGACAGTGGACTTTCTTTGCTCTTCTGGCGGTTTCTGTTTATTATTTGATAATCCTAATATGTACTCTATTGTATGCGGAGTGGGCTTTTTTGGCGGCTTGCCGTACACATGTGGGTGCCATGACGGTTCGTAGCTCTCCTCTCTTTGGTTATTTCTGCTCTCTTCTTGAACTTCATTTTGTAAATCGTTTACCCTACTGTCTGGTTGTTCGTTTTCTGATTTGTCTACGTCACCATCGTCAGCTATTACTAATTCATCTTCTTTATCATCGACGTCAACTTCTATTTTCTCTTCTTCAGTTTCAGGGCTATCATTCTTCTCGGCATATTGGTAATCTAAAGAATAATCATTAGAGTAATTGACATCGATCAATCTATCCGCTTGTCCAATTAGATTGGGTGAGACGTAATTGGAAACTATAGTTTGCATTTCTTCTCCCCCGTTCTCTTTCTTTCTTTCCTCTGTGCAATCTGCTTCACTTTCCGCGCTCATGTGTGATCTTCACCCGCGAACCGTACGGAAATAGTCGCACATGTTTGTTTTTATGATTGAATTAGCGCTTAATAGGCACTCGCTGATGGTGAGAGGTCGTTTGATGTAGGCGCGGCTTTGAAGTCGCGCACCGATGTTCTCGGCTTCCTGTAACAAACAGACGGTCGATTTGAGTCTTATTGAGTGAGTGAGCACGGCACGACTAGAAATTCCATAATTCCCGGAAAATAACTACGGAAATAATAATTACAGAAGTATTGAATAAAACTATTTTTTATTTTACGGATTGTATCGCGTTTAATTTACTATTTTAATTCCCGACGTTTCGGGTGCTTTTCGGCAACGACGATCTTGAACATGTTCACAGACTGCAAACACATTTCACGTTCACATACATGTTCAAGATCTTCCCCGCCATTACATCAGATTTGATAGACCACAAAGCCTCGCAAAAGAACACCGATTCCTACCAAGGATGATACGCGAGGCTATTGAAATTAGAAAACATCCTAATTTCAATAGAGAAGATGGATGGGTGCTGCCATCTGCTTGGGATCCTATAATTAACAAAATTAAATCCAAACCCAAGCATACCACTGCAAGACTTCAAGATACTGTAAGTTCATTCTGCGTAAATCGAACCAAAACTTAATATTAAAAAACTAAAGGTAGCCGGGCTAACTGTGACATCGGGACGTCAAACATCTCAGTCCCCCCCCGTGACCATGGGTTACTGTAAAGCACCCGAAACGTCAGGAATTAAAATAGTAAATTAAACGCGATAAAATCCGTAAAAAAAATAGTTTTATTCAATGTGTAGTGTTCGCGTTAATATAAGCAATACATAATGACAGAAGTAGGTTGCAAAGCCCTAGAAAATAATATAATGCATCATTCGTCTACTGTCGTGAACTCTTCCAATCAAAAGCATTTTAAGTATTAGTAAGATTAGATAGAGTATTATTACTGTCAATAGTGCAATAATTGTTTAAAAATTCAAAAAAATAAATACGGTGTGCTGGCATAAAGCTAAAAAATTACGTTGTATTGTTACATTTTACTTTTAAAATTTGTAAAAAATAACGATAAAGTTATGCTCTTTTAAGTTGTTTTTGCCTTTTGCACACATCAAACGCTATGACACGATAAGTGTTCTATTGTCACCAAATCACAAACTCGCGATCCACTTTTTTTTTAACTTTACCTCCACACTAGTATTGTCTCCTATTTCGCGAGGGCAACATATATAGATTTCACATGGACAAACATCCAGACCCCGAACAATTAATTGTAGGCCATACAAATACTTGTTCCGTGCGGGATTCGAACCCGCGGTCCTTAACACTGCAACTCATTGCGCCACAGAAACTACTGTGCCACGGAGCCGACCACTCAAATCACTTACACCAGCTTTATATTGCACTTATATAATAAAAAAGTACACCAATAGCAAAAGGAGATTTCAATTAATACTTCTGACGTAGTTATGGGATTATTTATTTCGATTATTATCAAAAAAAGTTATTTGAAAATAATTTCACTTGGACGTTAGAAGATATCGAAAAACTGAATTTAACATGATTTTTTTTATTAGCTTTAGATTTTAATCCTTAGGCAGCCTTTTGAATTTCACTATGGTAAACAGTCCCGTTCGAGGTGTGCAGTGCACTTTTGTATTTTTCATTTTTTTTTAATATGTACTTCTATTTTATAAGTTAAACTTATCGTATATTCACTTTTGAGCACTTCTATGATTCAATGTTGGAAATGGTTAAAGTTAAGGATATAGTACAATCAACATTCAACATGATACTTGGATGTTCAATTGCAGCCTATAAAAGTCCACAGCTTAACATCGGACCTCTCCATAAATTGCCATAGTTGCCACGTTTGGCAGGTGGGCAACCGCAATCCCTTATTATTTTAGCTATTATCAGGCTGATGTGATGCTGCTACTCATGATTTCGTTGATGCACGGAAATTGAGTCATATTTCCTGGTTCTACATTTAAAATCTTTCAGTGAATGAGCAAGGTCTGAAATAAAAAGTTCTGACAAAACAGGACTAACTCGCTCGTGTCCAAATGTATGGTGCACCTAGCGCGATAGACTCGAGCTCTCTATCGGTTATTTAAAGTGCATTCCGCAATTTCGCATCATTTCCGCGTAATATCGGAATAAATACGCCGCTCATGTCTCTATTTTAATTTGAAACTAACGAAGTATAAAGCCGTATCTCGTTGGAAGCAACATGAAAGGTTCATTGGATAGTTATTAGGATTGAGTTGTTTTATGTGTGATCATGCTTGTTTTGCCATTTTCTACTCAATTACGTGATAATAAGAACCAGAATCTAATTTCAAAGCACCCAGAAATTTGCATACAGTGACACAAATAGATTTTAATGTCAATAAGCCGTGATAGCTCCATGGCAGGACACCAGGACACTCATCTTAAATTACAAAGTACGCGACCAATCGGATTTTGATTCCCGCAACCGACCAAATTGCAAATAACCGAAATGAAATGGGGTAAAGAATATTCTTACGCCGCAAAACAAGCTCCGTCTCGGTCCAGACAGTGTTTTAAGGGACTTCGCACATCTTCGAAATATAATGCAAAAATACAAGTTCAGTTTTTTTTTTATAAGATAAGGTTGACTGACAAACGAGCACACATTTCACCTGATGGTAAGTGGTTGCTGTAGCCCATAGACATCTACATCTTTCCTCTATTACAAATCAAAATGCAGATGTGTTGTCACCCGTGAGGACTAAGATGGAATGCCTCATTTCCAGTAAAATGGTGTCCGGTTCTCTACACTCACCATACGAAACACAGCAATGTTAAGCTGCTATTTTATGCTGGTATTCTCTGAGAGCGTGGTCCTTCCCTGGTCGAGCCGACCCATTCGTGCTACAACTATACTACTAATATAGCTGCAGCGTGAAAAGTTTAACAGTGTTCGTTTGTCATACTTATTCTATAATAATTTAAAATTAAAAAATTTGTTCAGCCGACTTCATTATAAGTTATTAAGAATAAATCAAAAACTATTGATGAATTCATGTGGGACCACACGAAAAGTATCAGCTTTCATATAAGAAAAGAATCACCGAAATCGGTTCACCCAGTAAAAAGTTATGAGGTAACACACATAAAAAAAAAACATACAGTCGAATTGGGTACCGTCTCCTTTTTGGAAGTGGGCAGACAAAACAGAGAAGCCCATGTTCAGCTATGGTTTCTAACGAACTAAAGAAGAAAAAGAATTGAGTATATCACAGAATCCTAATTACAGTCAACCCTGAATTAAATTGACAACAGTGATGGCGCGCTTCGCAACAATTGAGCGCCATATCATCGCTAAATAAAACTTTGTCAATACTTTTACTGCCCGCTGCATTCTTCAGAACGAAAGTTTAATGGATCGTTCACTTATTTTATGAGTGGAAATTTGACCTCTATTGCCTTTTATGTTTATTGTTCAATGTTTTAAATCAATAAACACTTTTGTTTGCCAAGGAATAGCATTAGTTAATATGTAAGATCATTTTTTTTTTAAAGTTTTAAACGTGGTCTACCATGCTGCAGCTATATTGTAGTTGTAGCACGAATGGTACGAATTGTACTATTATGTCAGACTAGCAATCCGCCCCGTACTTCGCCTGGGTAAGATCTATTAATGTGGCGTTATTTACATTTTACTTACGATCATCGCACACTGCAACCGGACTGGTACCACCTTTACCAGATATCTCATACCATTTTACATTGTCCACCATTGTTGATTGAGTATTATATCAGACTAGTGACCCGCCCCGGTTTCGTCTGGGTAAGATCTGTTAATGTGGCGTTATTTAGATTTTACTTAAGATTATCGCACACAGCAACCGGACCGGCACCATCTCTACCAGATGTCTCTTACCATTTTACATTATCCAACAATGCTGTTTGAGTATTAACTCAGACTAGCGATCCGCCCCGACTTCGTCTGGGTAAGATCTATTAATCGTTATTTAGATTTATGCTGCATCATCACTTACCACCAGGTGGGATTGTGGTCAAGCACTGGCTTATAATAATTAAAAAATAATAATTTAGATTTAACTTAAGATCATCGCACACTGCAACCGGATATCCAGATATCTCATACCCTTTTACATTGTCCAACGTTGTTGTTGCATTATCATTCGATATTAAACGATATAATCCTTCCAAATTTAAAACGATATTTCCTTAATTAATTTTTCTGCGGTAGCAATGCGCCGGATACCAGCTAGTGTTTTATAATAAAACAAGCGAGCCGCCCCGGCTTCGCATGGGTGATTTTTGCATCTGGAGAACAGCGGCATCTACCGGGTCCAATTATGAATCTATACCATCCAGAGATCCACTCAAACACACACAAAAATTACATCAAAATCGGTTCAGCCATTTTCGACCGAGAACTTTAACCGAGAGGGTCTCTTAGAGATAAACTTAAAGAAATAAATATATTAACTTTGGCCTCTCAGTACATTTACGAAAATTTAATGTATGTTTACAAAAACAAAGGTAGTTTTAGTAAAAAAAGTGATATACATTCTGTAAATACTAGGAACAAACACAAGCTAGTGATACCAGTTTTTCGACTCCACAGAGTCAGAAATTCATTCTTGGGGCAATGTATACGCTATTACAATAAGGTCCCGGAAAGTGTACAGGCTCTCTCTATTAGCAAGTTTAAATGTTTTGTTAAGTTGAAACTGTATAAAAAGGGTTATTATAGTATAAATGAATACATGGTTGCTAATAACCTCTGCGAATGAGGTGATCGCTTCTAAGCTGTTTCTAAAATAAATTTTGTACTTATATAATTTGTACAACCATTAATGTGAAATTTGCTTTTAAAAAAAGTCCCGCTGGGTTTCTTGCTGGTTCTTCCCAGGACAGAGGTTTTTTTTCGAACCAGTGGTAAAGTAAAAAATGACTTTTAATAAGAATTACACATGTGATCTA